ACGGGCGGTACCATCCCTCTGCCCGTTCTCCAACGACTTTGGAGAACAGCCTGCCCCCACCGGCGGTCGTCTGCTAAACTTCTGGTGGGGCACCGCAAACGATCTTTCGTTGGTGCCAGTTCTACCCCCCACCGCAGCCTCGCCTCCCCCAGCCCGCTCGCCCGCTCGCCCGTTCGCCCACCAGACTCGCTTCTCGCTCCCTCTCTATCCGTCTCTCGCTCTCTCTCTCTCTCTCACCCTCCCTCGCGCTCCCTCGCTCGCGGTATCTCCGATACGAGACTTGTAGCTGCTTCGTTCCCCCTCCGTCCCTCGCTCCCCACCCGGCCGCTCGCTCGCTCGCAGCTCGTAGCTCGTGGCGTATCCATCCGTTCACGCACCACAGTCCGGACGTCTGGAGAGGGCAGCCTTACCACCACCGCTCTCATGCGGCCCAGGGTGGGGGGAAGCGTTTCGCGAGGCCAAACGGGAGGATCGAACTCTCTTCGCGTATCTGTCTTCTCGCGTCTTTCTTCCTCTCCTTGCTTCTTCTTCCCTTCGACTTCGACTTCAACTTCAACTGCTCTCCGCGTCTCTCTACCCTTGTTTTACCTTTTTCTTTTCTCTTTCTTTCTCTCTCTAACGCGTTCTCTATCTTTGTCACACCTGGCGCATCCGTCGCGTCGTTTCGCTCCCTTCAACCCCCAACTCCGCGCCCATATTTTTTCGCTTCCCCCTTCGAACTGTATTATCGGTCCGCTGTATCGCGCCCGCCGTCGCTTTTTCCTCCTGTTCTTCCCGATTTCCTGATCGGCAGGACTCCTGGAGGACTTGGCGCGACGCCGCGCAGTGATGCGGGAAATGGACAAAAATCAATATTTTCTTTTTTTATAATTTAATCGTAATCTGGAGGTTTTTGTCGGGCGCGAAGGATTAAGAAAAGCGGAAAAGTAAATCTTAATGATCAGGAGATACGGTAGTATGGTAAACAAAATAATAATGTAATGTAATGTAATGTAAAGACTTTATTCATGCGTCAACAATTAGGAGAAGCAAAAGTAACGTTTAACAATTAGGAAATACGTTAGTATGGACAACGATTTACAGTAATCTCTACCTAATTCGCGCTCAGATTGCGCACAAAAATGGACGATTTGGAAAGAGGAGATGCGATTATTGTTACCGACTTGAGGCTCGTTTTCATAGTCGCCGATTGTCAAATAAAAAATAGAAAATAATGCGAATAATCGCATCTTCTCTTCCAAAATTATCAATTTTTGCTTGCAAGCTGAGGAATAATTTGAAATAATTCACTATACCGTGGAAACGTAGGGTAATTTTATTTTTGATGAATTGCATGTCGAATTCAAGCTTTATAATATATAATTATAATATATAAAATATACTGACTTGTATAATTAAAAAATTGGAACGCACGGAGCGCAAGAAAAAAGCGATTAATCGAGCCTCGCGCCTCGATTTTATAATTATTCACAATCAATAAGTATAAAAACGAGCCACAAGGCTCGAATAACAGTATCTCCTCTTCCCAAATTGTCCATTTTTGTGCGCAATCTGAGCGCGAATTACGGAGAAATTACTATACATGTCTTTGCTTCCTCTCTTATGCATTTTTCTATTTTATCGCGGCGTTTCCAACATCTAATTGTTCAAAGTACTCTGCAATAAATATAAATATAAATAAATTATTTAATCGAAGGTACCGAATGCTTGTTATTCTGATCGCGAAATGGTTTATTTATTTATCTTATATTCGGTTTTATTGTCTCGAAGTTACCTTTTATCGCGTCGAAAGACCTACCATATACGCTCGATTTTTCTTCAACCGAACTTTTCTCCGGAAAGGTAAAACATGTCGCCGGATCTCGACGGAAAACTATTCCTCGAAGCGTCCTCGGCATTATTATACAAAATTTTCTTGCGGCGGCCTGCATTTGTAATTGTAATCGTGCTTTTTAGCAGCGTGTCCGAGAGCAAATCTCGGGACGTTCTCGAGAAATGGGTTTGTTCGTCGCTCAAGGACAAAAAAATGGACGCGCGTTCCGTTCGATTCGGAACACGTTTCATTCGAACGTTCCATTCGAACGCTTGGAAGATGTTTACAGTGATTTAGAAAAATTTCGCGACCTTCTTTGCGCGGATATTAACAATAAATTGAAGCGCGTTCGAAATGCTTCCATATCGAACGCTTCTAAATATCTTATAAACAATATATACTATTTCGTCTAACTTTTGCAAATATTTTCGTGCATAATTTCCTATCATTTATTATCCTGTTACATCGAAATATTTATTGCTCGTTTATTTGTTACGTTCAAATGTGTACCAATTAAGTATACAATCACGTTAGAACGTAATCACCAGTAACTCGTAACAAAAAATGTTCCGAATAAAAATTACTCGATAAATAGTCCTTAAAAAATTACAATACCAAATGTCGACGAAAGTATATTAATTTTGTACAGATCGATTCGTCTTCGTATTCCCTTTAAGAAATTACTGAGGTACTTTGGTCGAAAATCGATTGGTTTAGAAGTTACGATTATTGTTTCGAGCGGCCGTAAGATCGCGTCACTGTGCGCCGCCCCGATGGCCGACTGACAACCACTGATTCCCTTCCAAACTTCAGGCCGCTGTACAACCGTATATGTACGGTCTAGAGAGACGCGTCATGCGTATAGCGCGTGTGTAGACAATCCACGAGCTCTCGGATAGGCTAACCGGGCCGCGTCGGACGTTACGCCGGATAAAAAAGAAATGATCGTTCAAAATGGCTGACGTACACGCCGTCGAACTTCGTATCTTAGATGCTATCGATCCGCCACGAAATACGGAACAACGACGTGCCGAATGTAATTTCGTTCCGATGCTCGACGAACATGTTTTGCGGTATTTTTCTTGTCTCTGTATTTATTTGTCCAAGGTTGTGCGTCAAGGAGTTTACTGATTCGTTCGATTTTCCGTAGATGTCGGTGCTGCGTTTTCGTAAACTAGCGACGCCGAAACGGTTCCGACTGGCGTGAGTGGACGAATATTTCGAATTATTGGGCTCCGTTGTTATTTCGTATCTATCGTATGATCGTTTAATAAAACAATTTATGATGTTGAATTATTGTATAATATTTTGTTCTGGGTGATGTTTGCTTGTGTTATTATTGGACCTCGAATTTTACGCGTTTATGGTAAATATCGGCGATTTAAGTAGAAAAATAATAGCAAAAATAATCAGAATAATATATATATATATATATATATATATATAATAATGTATTCTATACAGTAATATGTATAATAATATAACCTATACACTAATAATATATATAATAATAAGATAACCTATATAATAATAATATAATATATATATAATAATAAGATAACATATACGAGAATAATATATAATAATAGTATAATATATACAATAATAATATATAATAATAATATAATAAATACAATAATAATATATATAATAATAAGAAGAATTTAACAATTTTACTACGCTACATTCAACTTATTGAAATAATTAAAAGGAGCGACTTATTGTTTACGTAATTTTTGTTTCTTACAATCGGCTTTGAAAATTTCTATTTTGCGCGAAGAACCGCGGTCTACGTTCTAACTTTTCTTCTTATTTTCACCGGTAGAATTCGACGATACCGTTTGGTCGAAAAAGCCCGGGACACCCCGTATAGAGTCTAAGCTTCCGACCATCCCCCTGCTGTCTGCTCCTGATTGGGGTTCCACACGTGCGTTCTTTCCCGCTGCCGATCGTTAAGATTCGACGATGTCTTTGTCTTCTGCTTCTTCGAAGTAGAACTTGCGACGGAATTAGCCCGAGAAACCGGCCGACCATGATGGAAGTTCGGGGATGCTGGGCGGAATTTCGGGGGTGCTGGGCGACCGGATCGGCCCCTCCCTCTCTCTCTTTATTTTTCTCTCTCTCTCTCTCTTTATTTCTTTCTTTTTCTCTCTCTATTTTTCTCTCATTTTTTTCTCTTTCATTTTTCTCTCTCTCTCTTTCTCATTTTTCTTTCTCTCTCTCTCTCTCTCTCTCTCTCTCTCTCTCTCTCTCTCTCTCTCTGCTCCTTGTTAAAACTTCCATCCCCGACTACTTCTTCCCCCGCGCTCCCCCGGTCGCCGTTAATTATCGTCCCGCGCTGGTATTTGCATTCGCGGCGATTCCGCCGAGAAAATGTAATTTTCCTTGGGTAAACCTCCCTCGCGCCCCCTTCCCCCACCGCTCTCCCTTTCACCGCTCCTCGTTTTACACTCTTTTAGGAAGCGTCTTTCGAGTAATATCGCGCGGGCTCAGCCGCGGATTTATTCGCCGCGAGACCCGCGGGAAAGAAAAGTCCCTTAGAAATTCGCGATCGCCTCCCCCCACCCCCCAACCCCGGCGGCGGGTTATTCCTTTAACCGATCGCCGGCGAACGGCCGATCTCGATCGCAGCGATCCGTTGCAGCGCGTATCAACGATCTACGAGTACGTTGCATCGTGGTTAATTGTCTTTAAAAAATATTTACGTCCCTCTTGCGCAAAAGTCTTCTACTTTATTCTGTTCATTCGTTAGAAACAAATATTTTTCTGTTTACTTGCTACAAACACATACTTTTCTGTTTATTTGCTAGAAACAATATTTTTCTGTTTATTTGCTACAAACAAATATTTTTCTGTTTATTAGCTATAAACAAATATTTTTGTGTTTATTTGCTATAAACAACTATCTTTCTGTTTATTTGTTATAAACAAATATTTTTCTGTTCTTTGCTACAAACAAATATTTTTCTGTTTATTTGCTATAAACAAATATTTTTCTGTTTATTTGCTAGAAACAATTTTTTTCTGTTCATTTTCTACAAACAATATTATTCTGTTCATTCGCTACAAATATTTTTCTGCTTACTCGAGTCTGAGAACGTAACACGTATAGCGAAACAAATCTACGTCTCCTAGATAGACGCGTATTGCATTGTCTAACCTGTTTGTTTACCTTTTCTTGTTACAGACAGAAGATCGGGCAAATATTGTTGACGGTGTTTCGGACGGCCGTGGATAATGAGTCGAAGTTCGACGTCGACGGAATCATGCAGTCGGTACGAGGGATCGTCGAAGATAACGGTGAGTGGTTTCGCGATTATCTTCTAACGACCGTTCTCCCGTGCTAACGAACAAGTAATTACCCCGTGAAAAATGTCATTTACACCCGTTTGCTTTCACGTAATTTCGTAATTTTCACGGAAGTCCGGCGACGTTTCACGTTTTGTTCAGCACGATTTCGATGTACTCGATGCGAAGAATCGGCTGTCTCTGGTGCAACATTCATATTATATTTATTATTTTGATGCGTCGAATACAAATTATCCTCTGGAATGAGTTCGAAATTGTTTCAGCAGATTCATTTTTATTGTATCGTGTAGAATAGTGAATTTTTTGTTTTGCCGAGCCTGTTTTTAGAGAATTCTGTTCTAGACACCGACATTATTTATTGTTTCAATGAATAAATAATAATAAGTAGGAATATATGAGTAAATAAAAGTATGTAGAAAATAATAGGTTAATGATAGTAAGTGGCAATTGGTAAATGGCAATAAGTAAATAATAATAGGTAAATAATAATATGTAAAAAGGAATAGGTGAAACATAATAGGTGAAAAATAATAGGTGAATAATAATAAGTAAAAAATAATAGATAAATGATAATAAATAAAAAATAATAAGAAAATAATAAGTAAATAATAGCAAGTAAAATATAATAGGTAAATGATAATAGGTAAAAAATAATAGAAAAATAATAGTAAGTAAAATAGTAGTAAAATAATAGTAAGTAAAATATAATAGGAAAATAATAAGTAAACAATAATAGGAAAATAATAATAACTAAAAAATAATAGGTAAATAATAATAATTAAAAAATAATAGATACATGAAAATAAGTAAAAAATAATAGGAAAATAATAGAAAAAATGAAAAATAACAAATAAATCCTTCGCTTTTGTAGCCAATGAACTTCCACCGTGAGATATCTCGTAGCCGGGCAGCGAATGTGTGAAACACCAATGGAATTGAAAGCGCTAATTAAAACCTAATTTCGAGCACCGTAGTGTGTAAACCTTGCAAACACCAAGTAGCAGCCAAATGACCTCATTCATTTCTTGTCACATCTTTCGCTTGATTCGAAAGGATTGGAAATGATTCTGAGCCAAATCCTTCGTACGCATCGCTTGTGCACGCATGGATTTTTTCCTATAGTTCGTAGTTTTGATTTACGCTTGTCACCGTCTCACACCTTCTTCTCTCCGTCCCGTTAATTCTGCTTACATTATTCCCGATCAGCTTGTACGCAATTTCGAGATGCGAGGCGACGAACGTCGCGAAAGGGACGCGCGATGATTTCGAACTACGGAATCCCCGCGCCTTTTCGAAGGTCGGAAAAACGTGAAATATGATAACACGAGATATCATGGATGAATAGGAAAATCTTTAGACAATTTTGAAACATTTTGAAACATTTTTAAACGGTATTCTGCGAATCTCTTGGCGGCGCGAAAGTGAATCTGCCGCGTCGCCGTCGAGAAAATTGACAAACGGACGCGCTTCGATCACTCGGCGCAATGTTTCGAAATATTTGACGATTTCCAAAATAATTTCGTCTCTTTTTGTGACACGATCGCGTTCCAACCGACACAAATTTACCGAGAATAGCCGCGAAATACGCTTATATTAGCTCCCATCGAACTCTCGAGGCGTCATTCAAAATGGCTACGCCGGCGTCGAAAATGGCCACCGCGGCGTTAAAAATGGCCACGCCATCGTTTCGAAATAATTAGCGCGAAATTCAATTTTATATCTTGAATTAACACTCGAGAGAAAATTTCGAAGCATCGTACGCGCCGATAGAGGTTCTTGCGCGCCATTACAGTAATGTCTCCCTAATTGACGCTCAGATTGCGCACAAAAATGGACAATTTGGGAAGAGAAGATACGATTGTTCGAGCCTTACAGCTCGTTTTTATAGTTACTAATTATGAATAATTATAAAAACGAGGCGCAAAGCTCGAATAATCGCTTCTCTCTTGCGCTCCGTGCGTTGCAATTTTTTAATTATACAAGTCAATATATTTTATATATTATAATTATATATTATAAAGCTTAAATTCGACATGCAATTCATTAAAAATAAAATTACCCTACGGTTCCCCCACAGTATAGTGAATTATTTCAAATTATTCGTCAGCTTGTAAGCAAAAATTGATAATTCGTAACTATAAAAACAAACCCCAGGGCTCGAATAATCGCGTCGCTTCTCTCCAAATTGTCCATTTTCGTGCACAATCTGAGCGTCAATTAGAGAGACATTACTGTATGTCGCAAAATATTCCACAAAATATCGAATCGGAACAGCTTCGAGACCGCGAAGGGGTCGCCGTTCTCGACGAATTTTAAAAAACGAACCCCCTTTCGTCATTCCCGCGTCACGAAAGAGTTCGCGAGCGCGCGTGAAATACGCGCTCGCGTAGCCAAGTTTATTTATACCGCTCGGATATTGGGCGCGGAACGGCAACGGAAAACGGCGCCGAGCACTGTTTTCCGGGGTGAAATTCCTTTTTAGGCGGGTTCGCCATTTGTTTCGCCGTCGTCGCGTCGGTTTCTCCTTCTATTTGGCCGAGGAGGAGAGGAGAGAGGGGGCGGCACGTAGGCGGAAGATGTTTAAAAATAGGGGCGACAGGATAGAACGCGGTTCTTGAGCGAAGACAGAACGTTCCGCGTTACTCCGACGGGCTAGGTGGGGGGGGGGGGGGGGG